AAAAAAAAAAAAACAAAAAACAAAAAAACAAATCAGTACTTTGGAGTCACACTTAACTACAGTTGTGATGTAGTAGAATTAAGTCAGGTGCTTCAAGTCACCATTACTATAGCACCTGAGCTTTGAATTATAAAGTTAATGAATAAATGAATAAAAATTGTGTAGGCTGTTCAAAACAGGCTGACTGTTGGACCAAAGAATTCAAAAACATTATTCAATCATAAGTGTATATAGGATTTACGACCCTTTTGCTTTTTGTATGGCTGTAAAATGGAATGAATAATAGTCATTAAAATGTCTTCCTATGCTGATTAGCAAGTTAAAGCATGCTAGTTTGGTGAAAGCAGCATCTTTCAGTTATAAATTGAAGTGAAAATGGAGTTAAGCTCATGTTTGTGATGCCTAGTTCTTTTGGATATCACAGTCACCAGATAATTTCTAATCTGTCACAAATATATCCTTCCACAGTAGTAGAGGCGAAAATTTCCTCAAGATTATAGTCATATTTAAACTCTAAATGTATGCCACGTGGTCCATGTGACACGAATATAGTCATCAGCACAGGTCTGTCAAAGTGCAGATGTAAACACATGGAAACCATGAACTGGTCATTGTTGCCTTATTCCATTACATCACTTCAGGAAAACACATTTGTGAGTAGATAATGGAAACGAGAAAATGACCCTAATATTCTGAGAATTGTCCCAGCCAGTCACATACCTTTATAATTTTTATTACACTTGGAGAAGACGAAAACAGGAGTGCACACGACTAAGTTAGTAGACATTTACATGTGGCTGTTGGTGCCAGAAACAAATATGTTCTTATTTAATCAACGTACTGTGTCATTTGCTTTAATTCCCATTAGACATCAGCCTCTCTCTCTCCCCATCTGTCTCTCTATGAGATGTTGTTAATAAGCAAGGTGCAAAGTACACAGATGACAGCCGCGCAAACTGGTGTACGTCTGGATTACGTAGAAAATGAGTGAAAATGTTTGTATGCATGCTGCATCTGAGTAAGCAGGCATAGCCACTAAACTGGAGTGAAGTTTAATGATATTCTGCACAGGTGTGTCAGTGCTAGCGTGCAATGGGAGGGGCTGGTGCTGGCACTGCCAACATTACCCACACTTGGCAAATTAATCCGGTATTGTGGGTGTGTATTGCGGCGTGTCACACACTTCGGCAGCATTTAAAGTATGATGTAATCATTAAAGAAGGAAGATAGCCGTTTCAAATGGTTGTTGCATACTTTTGCACTACTTTTAAAAACAGTTTTTAACCTCATGCATCAGATTTTGGTCAATTTAAATATTTTGTTAATTTAAAATTAGTCAAATAGTGAAATTTTCTTTCCGCAATCTTTTTCTAAAAGAAAAGTAAATTATAAATTGCGAAATGTTTTGTAGTGGTTTTTGTTATTTTGTTTTTAGAGGTAGACTCTTTTTTATATGAGTGTGTCAGTGAAGTGCTCCCAATAGAATTTTTTGGCTCATCCTGCAAAACTAGTTATAATAAATTATAATAATATAATATAATTATGTTAAAAATAACTTATGTGGTTATGGGTGCTGTCCTATAGCCTTGCAGTAACTAGCAGCTTTGGTAGAACCTTCTAGTAGTTCTAAGTTTACATAGTCACTGAAGTTCTCCTCAGTCACTGATCCCTTCAACTACAATAGTTACTGTAAGTTGTTGGGGCAGCTGTGGATTAGGAGATAGAGCGGGTCATCTGGAAATCCAAAGGTCGACGGTTCAATCACCAGCTACTCAAGTCTTCATGTTGAAGTGTCCTTGGGCAAAACACTAAGCACTGAGGTTCCCCCAATGCATCCAGAGTGTGTGTTGCTTAGTTAGGACCAAAGCACTCATGAATTTGTGTGTGAATAGGTGAATGAGGCTTGTAGTAAAAAGGGCTTTAAGTGCTCAAACTAGAAAAGCAAAATAGAAAAAGTTCTAATAAAAACTTAATGTTGATCTTATTTGAAGACCCTTATAAATTGCTATTTCCACACTCTTACAGAACCCCAGCCCAATTCAGCTCTCCACCGTATACTCCTCCACACCAAATGCAGAGATCCTTTTCTTCTCCCGATAATCTGCAGAAGCATGCCATGGTAAGTTTCTATTTCAAAAAACAATACTGTATTGTCACACCGGTGCATTGCCATAATGGACAGAATTCATATGCGTTATTCAAGGATTGCACTTGGCTTCTTTTATGTTCAACTAGCGCTGTTATTGTGTAACAAATAAGTCGATATGTAAGCCGTGTGTAAAACAGGACTTTTTATTTGCCCTCCATTTGTAGATGAACAACATGATGTGGCAGACTCACATGAAGCAAATGGACCAGTTAAACGGCTCCTTAAAACCTCCACAGCGGCAGACGTTTGGAGGTGGAAAGTCCGCCAGTGGTGACTCACGGCATCATGACAATACTCCCTATCGGCATCACGCATCCCAGAATAACAGCACTGGCAGAAGCCAGCGCTATGCGGAGGAGCCGGGCTCTGGCCGTCATCAGCAACACGGCCACGGCCGAGAGAGCCACCACCACCATCATCAACACCAGAGCAACAGGAGTGGCAACCGTCACTATGACAACAGAGGCGGCAATAGACCATATGAAGATAGGGGTAGCAACCGTGGCTACCAAGACAATAGATGGCAACGATACTGAGATGTAAAAAAAAAAAAAAAATTCTGTACAGACTTAAGTTCTTCAGATTTGAGGACACTTTTCTAAAGATGATGAACTATGTAGAAAAACATTACATATTGTGTATACTCAGGTTGTTTGTAATGATCCTATCAGTTTTAAGATTTAATAACTCATGCCTTAGACACATTTTTTTTATTATTTTTATTTTACTTTTAAGGCATTTTTTAAATTTGTACTCTTCTTTTGTGTGAGCTTTTCATCACAGACGTTGCAGATATTTTGTAGGGTGTCATTTTGTCATGAGAGCAAGGACAAAAGCTATAATTAGTAGTGATTTTTAGAATACGAGGGGGGAAAGTATTAAAAAAAGAAATTGGGCAGTTTTTTATGTTATGCAAATAATATTTAAATGGTGCTGCCATAGTTAAAAACAAAAATCTTCAGGTACTTTGCAAAAAAAGAACAATAACTTTCAGATTCCACCAGCACCACTTACTACAACAGGGCACTGACTTTTTCTGATTGTAACATCGTCTAACCTTGCTCTTTTCCAGAATTTTTTTTTACTCTTATGTGTAAGACTGTTTTAAAATGAACATTTGCATTATTATTATAAAGCCCTTTTCATTTGACTGCTGCCTTGTCTTTCATCAGGCTACAACTCAAATACTTTAGGCTCTTGGCTCTACATCGTGAACCTATTTACAGCTCTTTGTGTATGTGGCTAAGTTGCGTAAGTAGGCTATTGTATGTTGATGCTACATGCTGTAATGCATGCACACAAGGCCTTATCTGCACCTATAAATGGACCTCGTGTAACTAATATGCTTGTGCAGTGGGTTATGAAGTAATCTACAGGTGGCGCCACACACATCCTTTTATTGAATCAATTAAGGTGGTAAATATAACTGAGCCACATGATCAGCTCTTATTTGACCTTTCAGTTCATGATGCTTTCAAGTCTATACATAGGTTTGACACTCATTCTGTACTCTTGACTACATTCAGTTATGTTTAGGTTTACTGCTTATTCGCTAGAGTCCCACGAAACCGGTTCTTGTTCTTGTTCACCCTTAGCGAGTGGCACAGGTTTGGGCGACTTCGCAGAAACGAAAGGTAGTTTCTTGTTCCAACTTAAAATTAGTAGGACTTTGATCCCTACCATATGACGGTGCGATCAGGCTTTGTGTCCCGGTCTGTTTCTCGTGCAGTGGTCGTCAAATTTAATGTCTGTATACTTAATGTCTGTATAGAGGTCATAATTACCCTTCCGAAAGCGCTTATGACACTAACAGCGGCTCCCGCGCAATATCGACAACTAGATCCCTCAGTAAATCTCCCAGAGTCCAAAAGTAGAGCTGTATTTGCACCCTCTGAACTAAGCTCTGACTTGCTTGTAATCTACCTATCGTCCGATTGCATCCTGATGCTCCCAAATCGCTCTAATAGAGAGTATCCTCTGTTCGGTGTCAGTACTAGGAAGGCCTTTATTACGCTTCGGGCTGCGGCATAACTCTTCTAATTGGTTGATCTGCCTGGCGTCTCCAGCTCTGGAGCGGGCGGATTAGAGAAGCCGCTCGGTAGCCGCTGCTGTGTGGACTTATATAGAAGCGTGCCTCCTGAAATGATCCGCTTCCAAACACCAAGGGACCCTGCCTCCCCTGTAGCCGTGCCCCGCAATGCAAACCCCATCTGACAAGATGCCTGCAGCCGTGACTGCAGGAGCTTGGCACCACCTCAGGTTGCTGGGTTCACCGGGGACTAAATCTACCTCCACTCCCTTCATTGTATTGAATCCCATTTGACTTTAATATTACTGTTGTTATTTGCAATCGCAAGTAAAGTTAAATACATTTAAATATTCAGAAATTATGTCACCAGAGAAGACTTTTCTTCTTACTTTCGTGCATCAACGACTTAAAAAGTAAAACGTGTTCTGCGGACACCTCAGCAGTTGTTTCCATCTCCTCTTTGATCAAGCCATCAATCCTCTGAAAAAGAAAGCTGAACTTCCCGTGCAGAGGTCCCACATTTCCCCCCTCCACACGTTGGACACGGCGGCTGTGGAGGTGCGAGTTGCCACCGGGTTCAGTTTATTTCCTGTTGTGATAATTGTTTCCCCCGGACACCGACTTTTCGAAGTTTTTCGGACAGTTTGAAACTCTATCTGTACTAGCCTTTCTCGCCAGAAGACTGTTGTTCATTTTATTGCAATCATAACGTACACAAAAAAAATTAAAACAAAAACCAAATCAAATTATGCAGCAAGCACTCTTAAACTTATTTCTTTTAAACAGTTATTCGTTAGTGGACTTAAAAACAAAAGAGCAGCCAAAAATTAGATTTTGTCTTTTCTTTTCTGTGTTATAACAATTCTTAAATGAAGATTACAGGGAAATAAAACACTCTGAGAATATATGCAGAGATTAGTTTGTGCGAGTTGGACGTGCCTGTAGCCTTCCACGCATTAATGCCAGAGCTGTCAGCTCGTGGCTGACACTCATCCTACCTTTAGTCGAGCTTAATGACAGATACTTCTCTTAAAATAGATTTCACCGTTGAACCAAACGAATTCTGTGCCAAGCAGGAACAAGGATGGGGAATAAACATACAGGTGTTTTTATTCTGTGGAAGCCAATTTTATTGAAAAGTGACTGTTAATAAGACTTTTTGTGTATGATCCTGCCATGCATGCTGATTTGTGATAAATTACACCTGCCACAACTTGTTTGCGATATGAATAACGACTATAAGTTAACTGACATGGCCTGTAACCACAAAAGGTTTGGGGTCCGTTATAGCATAAATTCTTGTGTTTACCGTTTTAACGTAAAATATATTTTATGTGCCATTATTATTATTATTATTATTATTATTATTATTATTGTTATTGTTATTATTATTATTATTATTATTATTATTATTATTATTACGGTTGTTGTTGCTGTTGTTTTGTTAAAAATGAAAATGATTTTGCGGTGTATATAAATAATTAAATAGTTTTAAAGAAATAACAAACCAGATAACTGTATGTTGTATAAAACGTATAATGTAGACAGAAAGAAAGAAAGAAAGGTATCCCTACATTCCCACATAAATGAGCTTATGGTTCTCCGAGGTTATAGCCTGTGAAAGAGTGAATAAAACAAACTATTGAATAGACTACACCGCATGCTGTTTCTCGGACAGATCCTTACACACTAGTCTACAGCTAAAGACAATTACAAATGATTTCATGTGAATCATGAAGCGCCACCAGTTTTGTGTTAATAAATAATCTTAGCCTGAAAACCGAGGTCTATTACTTGACCTGAAACACTGCTAATAATATTAAATGTATGAGTTTGATAGGTATATTAATATTATTTTAATAGTATAGCTCTAATGATGATATTAGTTTCTGTTCTGGAAACTGTGGTTTTACTCTTGCGCTCTAAGTTGTGGGCTAGTCCGCAAAATAAAACTGAGAAAGAGAAACAAGTTTTTATGCGGGCATGAGGTATTGTATGTACAGTACGTGTGTGTGTGTGTGTGTGTGTGTGTGTGTGTGAGAGAGAGAGAGAGAGAGAGAGAGGGAGAGAGCAGCAGAGTTGTGTTAAGGGATGGTTTATATAGCAGTGGGTGTGAGCACAGATTGTAGTGAGTTCATTACCGCTGTACCGCTCTGCGCAGCTCAAGTTAAAGGCTAGCGATCCTCACCGGGACACTTCAGGGAAAGCTAAACTTCATTTTTAAAGATAAGCAATGAGTTGTTTTAACGCATGAACTCCAACAGTCGGCTTTAAAGACGGTTGAAGCTTCATATGCTTAGAAATTACTGAAGACTTTGTGCAGCGACGATTGCGCACGACGCACAGGGACAGATCATGCACTGTCAAGCCGAGTTGAGGCTCTCCTCCCCTGGGCAGCTGAAAGCTGCCAGGCGGCGCTACAAGACTTTCATGATTGACGAGATCCTCTCGAAGGAGACATGTGATTATTTTGAGAAACTCTCTCTCTACTCGGTGTGTCCTTCACTCATTGTTCGACCAAAGCCTCTTCATTCGTGTTCGGGTAAGACGTTTCTTCCATATGATATATTTAAATGTCGCGTGGATTGGTGAATTGTTATTTCCTGTACACAGGTTGAGGTATATTAGGCAGGTACAACTCGACATACACTCAATGAGGTGGTGATGAGGATTATGCGTCTGTGTTGACAGAACAATATGGTAACGTATAGCTCCACATTGTGTTCAGTTACTCTA